TTGGTCCAGATGTGAGCATGTACACTGAAGTTACGACAACTTCCGTGTCATGGCGAAGAGCTGATCTTTGACGCCACGCCACGGACACGCCCATTGACGAAAACTTGCAAATAGCACAACTTTCATCTTCAATGCCTTTAGAAGGCACAGCACAAATTTGAGGTCGGTCGGACTAAATCCCTAGGAGGAGTTCGTTAAAGTACGAAGTGTGTAAATCATCCAAAATTTGACGTAAAATTCAAAATGGCCGACTTCCTGTTGATTTTAGGCTATGGCTCCAAGAGCTTTTTGTGCGTCTGGACAAGATACACGTACCACAGAAAATTCGTGCACGTAGGTGAAACGTGCGGCGGGGGCTGCTTCGTTAAAGGTCACTTTCTGTTGCCAGCAGGTGGCGCTATGACTGTGGGTGAATGTCGGCATGTACATGTGTTCAGGGCGGGACTCTCATCCTACATGTACAGTTTGGTCCAGATGTGAGCATGTACACTGAAGTTACAACAACTTCCTGTTTCATTGCGAATCATCGACGCCACGGACACGCCCATTGACGAAAACGCGCAAATAGCACAACTTTTCATCGTCAATGCCTTTAGAAGGCACAGCAGAAATTTGAGTCGATCCGACTAAATCCCTAGGAGGAGTTCGTTAAAGTACGAAGTGTGTAAATCATCCAAAAATGGCCATAAAATTCAAAATGGCCGACTTCCTGTTGACTTTAGGCTATGGGTTCTTGAGGCTTTTTTGTGCGTCTTGATACGATACATGTCCCCAGAAAATTTCGTACATGTAGGTTGAACGTGAACGAGGGGCTAATTTCCAATTTTCTAGGTGGCGCTAGCGAGTCTTTGCCACGCCCATGTGCGAAACTTGTAGAATACGAAATTTTTCACCGGTTCTGACATGTTTGCAAATTTTGGTGAGTTTTCGAGTATGTTTAGGCCATGTCATTTGGGCCTACTTTGCAGAAAAAAAAAAAAAAAAAAAAAAAAAAAAAATAAAGCTGCAAGCAGCGTTGGGCGGGCCCTCGCACTTATAAGCGCGTCCGCGTGTGAGCCGGCCGAGTTGCATATTCTGGAGCTCTGCCGGTGCGGCTGTGAATTTGCTACGCGGTTATGACGCCGCATGAAGGGTTATATGTCACTTCCTGTGTCCCCTATGTGGAGCTACATAGCACTTGCCGCTATGAATATAAATCGGTGTTGGCGTGTAGATGTCTGCGGGTGGGAGAGTTATCAAGCACGTAAAGTTTGTTTCAGATGTGAGCATGTACACTGAACAATAATGTACCCAAACAATAAAATAAATTCCTTTTATATTTCCCTGCCTTGTTGTTTATGTGTACATACAGAGGAAGAATGTGAGAACAGCACACATTTCATCGTTACTGTGTGCTGTACCGCAGTTCTGTGTCCATGCATGCAGCAAACTGAAAGCACGTCTGTCGGAGCGTCTACGTGAAAAGAGAAGGAAGACATTGCTGGTAGTATTGTCTTCAGAGTTGTTAAACACCTCAGCGCACTGAAGGAAGCCATCTGACTGTGTGAGGGGCAAGATCGTTGATGTCTGCAGGCAGAGTAGGAGCTCTCCTGTCTGACTGGTCCACCAATAGCAGAGAAGATGACCCCTTGAGACACAGCCCCTCCTCATTTGCATAATGAGGCAGAAATGCATACAAAATTTAAAAAAGACAGGCAGAAATAAATACCATGGGTGAAAATAAATAAGGTAAATAAATACAAAGGAAGAATAAAACAGACAAAAATATTAAAACACACACATAAATAAATACATTAAAAAATTGTAATAAATAAAGTTGAATAAACAAATAAGGTAATTATAACAAAGGTGAATAGTAAAGGCACTAATTAAAATATATACATTTATGTCTCCTTGTATAATTTAATTACTACCTACATTTATTTATTTACTTTATTTTTTGTGTATTTAATTGGATGCTTATTTATTTATTGAGCATTTATTTATTTCTGTATTTATTTCTGACTGTGTCAGGATCGGTCCTCCATAACGGGGTGGGAGAGTTATCAAGCACGTAAAGTTTGGTTCAGATGTGAGCATGTACACTGAAGTTACAACAACTTCCTGTGTCATGGCGAAGACTTGATCTCTGACGCCACGCCACGGACACACCCATTGACGAAAACTCGCAAATAGCACAACTTTTCATCTTCAATGCCTTTAGAAGGCACAGCACAAATTTGAAGTCGGTCGGACTAAATCCCTAGGAGGAGTTCGTTAAAGTACGAAGTGTGTAAATCATCCAAAATTTGACGTAAAATTCAAAATGGCCTACTTCCTGTTGATTTTAGGGCATCGCTCCAAGAGGCTTTTTTGTGCGTCTGGACAAGATACACGTACCACAGAAAATTCGTGCACGTAGGTAAAACGTGCGGCGGGGGCTGCTTCGTTAAAAGTCACTTCCTGTTGCCAGCAGGTGGCGCTATGACTGTCTGTGAATGTCAGCATGTACATGTGTTCAGGGCGGGACTCTCATCCTACATGTACAGTTTGGTCCAGATGTGAGCATGTACACTGAAGTTACGACAACTTCCGTGTCATGGCGAAGAGTTGATCTTTGACGCCACGCCACGGACACGCCCATTGACGAAAACTTGCAAATAGCACAACTTTTCATCTTCAATGCCTTTAGAAGGCACAGCACAAATTTGAGGTCGGTCGGACTAAATCCCTAGGAGGAGTTCGTTAAAGTACGAAGTGTGTAAATCATCCAAAATTTGACGTAAAATTCAAAATGGCCGACTTCCTGTTGTTTAGGCTATGGCTCCAAGAGGCTTTTTTGTGCGTCTGGACAAGATACACGTACCACAGAAAATTCGTGCACGTAGGTGAAACGTGCGGCGGGGGCTGCTTCGTTAAAAGTCACTTCCTGTTGCCAGCAGGTGGCGCTATGACTGTGGGTGAATGTCAGCATGTACATGTGTTCAGGGCGGGACTCTCATCCTACATGTACAGTTTGGTCCAGATGTGAGCATGTACACTGAAGTTACGACAACTTCCGTGTCATGGCGAAGAGCTGATCTTTGACGCCACGCCACGGACACGCCCATTGACGAAAACTTGCAAATAGCACAACTTTTCATCTTCAATGCCTTTAGAAGGCACAGCACAAATTTGAGGTCGGTCGGACTAAATCCCTAGGAGGAGTTCGTTAAAGTACGAAGTGTGTAAATCATCCAAAATTTGACGTAAAATTCAAAATGGCCGACTTCCTGTTGATTTTAGGCTATGGCTCCAAGAGGCTTTTTTGTGTCTGGACAAGATACACGTACCACAGAAAATTCGTGCACGTAGGTGAAACGGCGGGGGGGCTGCTTCGTTAAAGGTCACTTTCTGTTGCCAGCAGGTGGCGCTATGACTGTGGGTGAATGTCGGCATGTACATGTGTTCAGGGCGGGACTCTCATCCTACATGTACAGTTTGGTCCAGATGTGAGCATGTACACTGAAGTTACAACAACTTCCTGTTTCATTGCGAATCATCGACGCCACGGACACGCCCATTGACGAAAACGCGCAAATAGCACAACTTTTCATCGTCAATGCCTTAGAAGGCACAGCAGAAATTTGACGTCGATCCGACTAAATCCCTAGGAGGAGTTCGTTAAAGTACGAAGTGTAAATCATCCAAAAATGGCCATAAAATTCAAAATGGCCGACTTCCTGTTGACTTTAGGCTATGGGTTCTTGAGGCTTTTTTGTGCGTCTTGATACGATACATGTCCCCAGAAAATTTCGTACATGTAGGTTGAACGTGAACGAGGGGCTAATCATTTCCAATTTTCAAGGTGGCGCTAGCGAGTCATTTTGCCACGCCCATGTGCGAAACTTGTAGAATACGAAATTTTTCACCGGTTCTGACATGTTTGCAAATTTTGGTGAGTTTTCGAGTATGTTTAGGCCATGTCATTTGGGCCTACTTTGCAGAAAAAAAAAAAAAAAAAAAAAAAAAAATCCGAGCATTCAATAGGGACCTCGCACGGTCGTGCTCGGGCCCTAAAAAAAAATAATCCGAGCAATTTCAATAGGGACCTCGCACGGTCGTGCTCGGGCCCTAAAAATAATCCGAGCAATTTCAATAGGGACCTCGCACGGTCGTGCTCGGGCCCTAAATAATCCGAGCAATTTCAATAGGGACCTCGCACGGTCGTGCTCGGGCCCTAAAAATATAATCCGAGCAGATTCAATAGGGACCTCGCACGGTCGTGCTCGGGCCCTAATAATCCGAGCAGATTCAATAGGGACCTCGCACGGTCGTGCTCGGGCCCTAATAAGGCCTGCTTTCAAATGTTAAGATCAAAAGCATGTTTGGTGCCAACATGTTTGGTGATGGTGCCAACCTTATCAAAATTACAAATACCTTATATGCAGAATGGCCCCTTTCAGATTGCACTGTGTTATATAATTGTAATATTATTATTGATGAGAATAATCAATAGTCTTAGATGATGATACTAAAACCTTTATTTGCAAAGTAAATAGTAAGCTTAGCTTTAGAGTAAGAAGCGTTCCTTCTGAAATGTGTATAAAGTGGCAGAAAATGGAAATACTCGTAGAAGAATGTAAGTTTCTGTTTGAGCACATATGGTGTATGATTGTGTGTGAATGGGTAAATGCCATGTAGTGTAAAAAGCGCTTTGAGTGGTGTAGAAAGGCGTTATACAAAGCTTTAAGTGAAAGTTACTAATAATTTTCTCCCACTGTTTATTTGTGAAAGTGATTCTCAATTTAGAAAACGTGCTGGCTCTCCTCCATTAGGACAGAAGGTGGCGCCTGTTTAATGTGAAACACTTTTTTTTTTTTTTTTTTTTTATTTGAACTAGACCTAGCCAACTAAACCTTTTAGGAGACCGCATCAGAAATCCACCGAGGCTGTAGGAAGGCTTTAACATTAACTAAGCGCATTGTTAAGAGTGATCACCACTGTAGTTGCAGTGGGAGGGAGCCCTTGGTGTCAGACTGTGGACAGGCGTGGCAGTGGGCTGGTCCAGGCGCACTGAGCGATGAAAAACATCAGGGTCCATTGACTCGGGATCAGCTGAGGCCCTGAAGTCTGACAAAGGAAACCTGCAGCTTTGTTGTAATTAACCACATCTACCTATTCTGAGGATGGCTTAGGGCTGTGGGTGTGCCGCACCCACACAGAAGACACAGAAGACCTGAGGATGCACTAAGGTGAGTACACTACCTGCTAATGTCAGCCTGTGTTTAGTTGACTCGAACAAGGCAATCATGGTGAAATGACTGGGTGTAGTACAAAGTCATCTCTGACGCGTGCATGTGCGGTGTGTGCGAATTTCAGCATGATATCTCAGCCTTCTTAACCATGTTGTCGGTGATGCGGTGCACCTCGCTCCCTCTGTAAGGACAGACTGATGTTTGTGCTTGTATAAAATGATAAAAAGTGCAGTTTTTCGGCGCACAGCACCGTCACCGTATTAATACCCGTGCTTTCGGTTTGTCATTGTGTTGTTCAGATCAAGGCCTGCAGTGAGTGCACGGTCCCATATGCACAGAGTGTGTCGTGTTTTAACAGTGAGACTGCGTCTGTGGTGGCAGCGTCTAATCTCTCTCATTAGCGTGCCACTGATGGCTTTTTGTTGTTTTACAGTAGCTCCACCGACCTGTGTTCCTGACGGTCTCAGGATTAAAATGTGGGATATGGGCTGTAGCTTTCTCCGTCATTTGGTCTGCTGGTTTGAAACGAGATGGCGGCTCGGTCCTGTACATACGCAGAAGAGAGCAGTGTTTGCGGCTGCATTTTGCTGGTGCCCATTAGCTCGTCCTCTGCTCTACTGGTGCTGAGGCTGCAGCGCGTGCTAGTGTTGCTAGGCAGCCATGCAGAGCGCGGGCCGTTAGCGCGTGATGGCGCGGAGGATGCTAAAACACATACGAGCTGATCATTCAGGGTGTATTATGGCGCTATACGGTACCCCGCACTCACATGACTGATCAAGAAGCCTGTCCCCTGCATCCTCCCCCTCTGTGCCACAGGACCTTTGGGAGTGCGGTTGATTTTTATCTCCCACAACACAATGGCAGACAGTGGAGCTAGGATGGATTAATCTCTGCCACAGCAGTGCAGAGGTTGATGTTTAAGTCAGTGTTGGTGGAAATTTGTTTTTTTATCATTAACCCTCTAATGAGTAGTGTCTTGCATATCAAGCCTTTCATTATTCATACTTAAAATGATGCAGTTATAGAAACTGTATTCATTGCATTATGGCTTGTCCAAGTCTAATCAGCATTTTGCTTTTCTTTTCTTTAGTCAAACACCTTTTTAAAGTTTGAGTTTGTAGTTACTGAAAATCAAACATGACATTTTGAGGGGCAAGTAAACAAATGTTCGCAAATGGTTAGGGGATATGCAACTCAAAGACTTAGTGAGCTATATATTTGCAATTTTTTGGAGTTATTGCATTATCATTGTGCAGTTTCTGTCACATAATAATAATACTCCAATAAGGTTACAATGTTAATTGAAGTGTCATTTCACAACATTGTACAACAAAATGCTTGTTTCCTTTATGCTAATTACAATAAGTAAACAAACATACAAAAATATATACAGTAAATAGTGATAAGTCATAAATAAACTAATTTGCATGGTGGAGTGCTGAGGATAAATTTAAGAGTCTCTCAGCCTAAGGAAAGAAGCTACTAAAGCAGATGCTTCTGTATTTCTTGCCTGACAGCAGCAGGGTGAACAGGCTTTGGCTGGGTGGGTACTGTCTGTGTATCCTTAAGGCACCGCACCTCACCGACATCACTGATGCTCAGTAGATCAGCAACAATGATGTTCTGGGCAGTTTTAATCACCTGCTGCAGATCCCTCTGGTCCCCGGGCCATAAACATCCCATGCCAGTTAGTGATGTTTCCAGTAAGGATGCTTTCTATTGCTCCTCTGTAAATAAGTTCATAGTTAATAAAAAAGGAACAGCTTCAAAACTCCCTTGACTTTAATGGACTCCATCACTTGCCTGTGCCTTCAGCTGCTTTTCCATTTGCTCCTTTCTTAAGTGTTTTGTGTATTTTGATATTGTTTATTTACATTTAGTGCCGTCTGCCAAGGTGGAAGCCAACTTTCCCATTAGAGGCTATAGAGAAAGGAAGGTCAATGTGTCCTCCTCCACATAGTCAACAAAATGTATTCTACCTCTTCATTATTCATGCGTTAATACTTTTTCATCTTGTGTATGCTGCGTTTCTGTTAAGCACTCAGTCTGCTAGATGTTTAGAGTTAATGAGTCCATTTATGTGGGGTTGAATACACCAAAGTTGTCCTTGTAAGTTATATACACATCCATAATAGTAGTAGTGAGGACTTTCTCATTCATTCTCAAACAAGCTAATATGTTAACTTAATAAACTATATTTCTATGGCCAGGCTGACACACAGAAACTCCCCTATTTACTGGGAGAAATGCCCAAAATATGTCTCCTCATGCCATGAAGTGAGGACAACAGTGGAACCTCAGACTGATAAATAATGTACAGATTTTCAAATTATTATTTTGATCATTTGATATTTTAGTAATTGTTTCTTTTTTTTATTATTTTTTAATCAATTATTTAAACATTTTTTTGTCTATTAATATACACACACACACGTTACTGTTTCATTTATATTTATTTTTTAATATATTTTTATTTTTAACACACACACACATACACACTTACTGTTTTATTTATTTATTTAATTTTTAATATTTCTTTTTTTTTAACACAAAACACATAGGCTTTGATTACTTTACGCTTTATTACTTGTTTAATTAAATGTATGGGGTTGATTGTTCTTATGTTGTATGTATGATGCTTTGGCAATATTGTTGTTACACATTCATGCCAATAAAGCTAAATTGAATTGATTGAATTAATATGCTATAACGCCTAAACAAGTCTTGCATTCGATTATAAAGAGTTGTTTACCATAAAATGAACACAAAAATATGATGGGTTAAATGGTAAATGGCTACATTTAGTTTGAACATTTCAAAGTTTGTGAAACATTTTCAAATAGGTTTAAACAAGATCACAGGTATTTAGCTTTATCTTATTTGGGAAAGCTGTTAGTAAAGGTACTGTTTTTTTCAGACACTATAGTTCATAACTGGTGTGGATTCACTGACCAGCCATTATGACACAAACCTAATGAAAGTGAAGCTAAAGAAAATCAATCCAGAGCTACTTAAGTAATTATACCCCTGTCTGCTTCTCTGCTGCTGGATGTCAGTGCTCAGACACAGACCTTCTAAAACCACTGCAGATTACAGCAGCCAATATGAGCACATGTATATGAAGATAATGTACACCAAAGAAAATCAATGGCCACAGATCTCAGAGCAGAGCAACATTAAATTTGTTGATCGGTGAGTTCTGGTGAAGGATACAACAACAAATAATCTCTGTATAGGTATAAAACTATTAAAACAATCCCCAATCAGCTCCCCAACTTCCTGAGATTTTATGGAACAAAAGTGAGGTGATGATGCATCATGGTCAGCCATAAGAGGAGGAGGCAGTGATGGTCGGCCAGCAGCTAGAGCTCTGTGTCTCCCCTTACTCATTCGGACCTGTCCCTGGAGAGAGAGGCTTTCTGTCTGCTTGTCAGCAGCTGTGCTCCGTCTACCCCCAGAGAGAGAGTCACATATACTGTGAACCATTGTGAGAGAGAGCTGCTACCTCCGATTTAGGCTTTTGTACAATGACTGCTGCTTTGCATTTAAAATAAAACCTCCAAAACCAAAAACTGACCATCACAATAAAAGGAAAACACCATCTACAGTATCTGAACAGGAGGTTCATAGAAAGTTGAACAGAGCAGTTTTGCCTTGATTATTGTGTTGTTCTGATCTGGGAGCAGTTTGGCTGGTAAACATCATAATGCTTGTATGTCAGTGTATATCTAGGGAGTTTAGTTCATGCTTTAGTGAATGGCTGATGTATTTTGATCTCTGATGTAATGTTTCTTTTGAGTGCAGGAAGCCTGACATTGTCGGGATAAAGTGCACCGTTTTATCCAGAAACTCCATTAAAGGTTTAGTCATCTGTCAGAGTTTCACGAGTGTAATGCACAGAGATTTAGTAATGCACAAGGATCTGATGTAACTTTCTTCCATGCTATTGGAAAGAGCATCTTAAGCTTGCCCTGGATGTTAGGGACGTGAGGGATGGGATTTACATGGATGTGATCAGGGATGAGCACACAGTTATGTAGCAGTGATGCAACTAATCAAGTAAGTAATTGAGTCAGTTAGTGAGATGTAGCACAGGAGAGAGGGTGTGGTGTGTTTAGGACCTTATCTGCTCCCTGCAGCTGTGTGTGTGTGTGTGTGTGTGTGTGTGTGCACGCAAGAGAGTTGAGCATGTTTTATTTGGGGAGTGGCCAGCTCTTTTCGGAAGATCCTTACAGTAACTCTTCACTCTTTCTCCAATTACCGAGCCCTATCACTAGCTAACTTCCTGTTCTGACGCTGCTGTCTGCATGTGAGCTCTTACTGCTAATGCTGCATTTTCTGTATCTCTGCACTTCCACTGGCCAGTACCCTGAGGAATACAGCATCGTTCATTTGAGGGTAGGTTTTTCATCTTAATGCTGCCATTTGGAAATGTAAAGAAATCAAGTCTTAATGTGCAGTCTAATATATAATGTTTATTTTTAGTACTTGCCACAGGAAACACAGCTTTGATGTTAATGCAAGATACAAAATGATTTGCTCAGGGTTTAATTGTCACAAGTGAGTGTATTGATTGAAGGTAACAATTATTGAATGTTTGATCATCTTTGTTGGATCTCATTATGGTTTTTAACTCTCTCTGGGCTGATGTGCACCACTGGATCTTAAGGCAGGGGCTTTTGTGAACTCATGAAATTATATTATACGCTCAGTAAGATTAGAAATATGCTGCTCACTGCACTTCTTCCATTTTCACATTTACTTACATTTCTTAGTTAAGCCATTATGGCAATGACCTTTTCATCCAGGATTATGGCTGCTGCTTTAGGAGCTTATGGCTAGTATAATTACAATTGTTCATAAATTCAAACTTAATTTCACAGTCATTTTTGTATGTAAATCTAAAATAAATAAATCTCTTTTTAGGGATATCTGCCCCATCCCCATTGTAATGTGTGTTCACCTTATTCGCCCTCCTTCGGTTCATTTCATCTTGAGCACGAACAGGAAGTAATGCCTTGAAACATATTTTCTGAATACAAACTGTGTCAAAAAACAAACTGTATCACAATCCATGATGGAAGCTCAACACTTGCTGTGTTGTTGGCTTGTTGTGTGCTGTGTTAGCATCATCATCAGGTTTGTTGGACGTCCACAGGCCCCTTTAGACTCCTCCTGTCTGAAGCTCCTACTATAAGGAAAGGCAGGTCCAGTTGCCATGTACTCCATTAATACAATAAGTGGGCAACTTATAATGTGTTTCTGATTTCCAGTGTGTCACGATGTGCCTCCTGGCTGATCTCCAGCTGTTCTCAAGCTAAATTCACTGTGTTTTCCTGTTTTGTAAATAAACGGTATCTCATCTGTATGTTTGAATAGGGCAGTAAATATATTGTTTTATCAAACGTACAACAACACATTTACTGCCCTATTTAAACACCAAATTGCACTGTATATGGATGTCTTGAAAGTTTAATAATCCAAAATCTGGCTAAATGCTGGTTCAGGTCACCTGTACCTGCCATTGTTGCTCAAACAATGTCTTTAGGTAAAGTTTAGTTGATGTTTTTACTCAATGCTATAAAGTAAAGAAAAAGTCCTTGGACACTGAACCCCACTGAAGTTGCTTGCCATGGCAGCTCTGTAGCCATCGGGGGCGGGGGTGTGTGTAAATGAGAGCACTTTGTCCATAAAGCTTTCTCAAATTTCTGTATTAATGAGAGATGCAGATGTAGAGTAAAGTAGATGAGAATATTGGTACCACTGTCATATCTGTACTATAAATATGAAGATACAGGCAGCAGCTGATTAGCTTAGCTTAGTGCAAAGACTGGAAACAGGGAAAATAGCTTGCTAGCTTGGCAACCAGGGTGGCTCCCGCTCCAGGAAGTTATTGGGCCTGACCAAGAGATAGCCTGGGACACCTGAACAACCACAGCTTGTCATTTTTTTCACTCATAGCCATTTCCTGTTTAATATTGACATTATTTACTTACAGTTCTCCCCACCCACCCCTGGTTGTACACCCACTGCAAAACAGTAGAAGATGAGCAAGTCCCCCACTCCCAAAGGCACCCCGGTGCAGCGCAGCCCCAGTGATGGGGTCCCTGAGGGCCTCCAGTCTCCTCAACATTCCACACCTGGCTCTGGGGCCCAGCATAAGAAGCGGATCTCAAGCCTCCTTCAGAGTCCGGTGAGATGGCTTTTTGTCTGTGTGTCAGCTTTATTGTCTTTTTCCTTTTCCTTTGTCTTTCTGTGTCTCCGCTCCTCTAGATGTGGTTATCTCCTCACATTAGTACAAAAATAAAGAAATGTCCTATACATAGTTGCTTTAATTCTTTATGAAACTGAAAGTATTTGTAGTGAGTGGTCTGGTTATACACGTATGTGTTGATATATTAATATCTGTGTCTGTGTCTGTAGTCATTCAGGGAGGAGCTAGATGTGCTGATCCAGGAACAGATGAAGAAGGGTGGCAGCTCATCCAACCTATGGGCACTGAGACAGCTGGCTGATTTTATGGCCTCACATGGCTCTCCGGCCGCCCTGCCCGTCTCCCCTTCTAGTATGTGCACAAGACATTTAAATAAACATGCTACCATATACAGTGACATTTTAGGCCTGATATTCTATTACTTGTCCCATTGTTTCATTGTTGCCATTTTTAGCAACAATTTTCTACTGTTTACGCTCTCTGTTGTTACACTGTTATATTTTATTATTATGTTTAGCCACAAGAACTGTGACTGGTCGGCTTCATAGCGTCGCATTTCCTCCTAGCCCCTAGGAAGCCCCGTGCTTTGAAGCCAATGCTCGTGTTGGGGGGGGGGGGTTATGTCTTTGTGTGTGGACAGCTCAGCCTCTGACTGATCTCAGAACTTACCAGTGTATGTTGTCTCTATACATTCATTAGTTGGAGTCATTTTGATACACACACGTTCTTTAAGTTTAAACATTTTCAATATTTGTGAAGGTGTGTTGTCCTGCAAAGGCACCCAGTGCGTTGAGTTTGAACTCGCCTGTAGTATACTGCAGGTGTATCTATCTTCTTCATTGTTAGCTTGATTATTCGGCTTCCATTATAACCTTGTTAGCCTCACATACACTCACAATCACTCACAGGAAGTCACTAGTCCGTTTTAATTAAAAAATAACCAGAGCATCCAAAGATGACGATGAAGTGGGCATGTGACTTCTTTGTCCTATAATGTTTCTGGGTCTTTCATTGTTAACCGTGGGTCCACTGTTAGGCAATCAACTTAATCCAGATGTTATTTTCATTTTTACATCAGCTGTTTATCATATCCAAAAGTAAAGATGTAATCAGATTCCACCTTCCTGCCCGATGATGGGTGACGCTTGTCTTGCACATGTGACTTATGACGGTAATTAGTGGCTGCATTCCATTTACGCAGCTGTAGCTGGTGTTGTGCATAGTTGCTCACTGGCACACTAAAGGGTAGAAATGTGATCGATCCCTCACAAAGAGCATCATGGGATAGTAAGATGGGCAGGCTGTGCAAATTAAGTAAAGTTAACCAAATAATAGTGTATTTGTTGACAATATATTTCAATTGCAGGCTTTTTTATTCATCCACATAAAACCTCATTCCAAATTTGCAAATTCAGAAAAATCTACCGTACAAGTATTATAAGAGTGTGGATGACAAGCAACTAATTGGGGGCGATGTGAGGTCACCAAAGCCTGTTGCTAATCATAATGGTAAATGTTGAAGTCGCCCTGCCTAGTCAGAGGGAGAAGTACGGGTTTTTAGAGCTTTGAGGATATAGTATAACTGAATGCTTCATCAGACTAAAATACACTTGCTTAAGCTTCATTGCAAATAAATGATCATTTTCATCAGACAACAGAACAAGGAAAAAACATGTCCATGATGTTCAGAAAACCAAAAGAAAATGGCTTAGACCAGTCATTATCCATAAATGCCATTACCCTATGCTGAAATGTGTACCTTTTTCAGCCACTCTCCTACTTACCTTTTTTTTTTTGTCTGCAGACTATCATCTTCACTGCACTCTCTCCGTCTCTGTCTGATCTGTCTTCCTCCCACAGACATGATGATGGTGACACCCATCAATGACCTGCATGGCTGGGAGCCTGGCAGCATGGTGAAGGGCGAGAGGTTGATGCGCTGCAAGCTGGCCAGCGTCCACCGCCTGTTTGACCTCTTCGGCTGGGCCCAGATCAACCGCACTCGTCTAACTGTTAGTTCCACTATCTTAAGATCAGCCTTGGTCAGCAGTTTTCTGTGGAAGTCCAGCTCAAATTTGAGTTGATCAGGCTGGTTTGATGCAGCACATACAAGTTTTTCTTTTGTTTCTTACAAAAACCATCCTAGCAGTAGAGAGAAAGAAAGTGCTGAACAGGGGCAGAAAGATATTTGTCACCTGTGATCAGTAACCATCTATCAAGTTTCCGTTTAAGTGCAAATTTAAAAACTGCCAAGTTTAAGGGACAGGCTTTGACACAATATGTTTACATGCAGCTTTACTCTTCCTCCCTGACAGCTGCGTGTTAGTAAAGAACAGGAACACTTCTTGGTTCTTCCTGACGGCCTGGCCTACAGCGAGGTGACCGGGTCCAGTCTGGTGAGTAAGACTAGTCACAGTCAGGATATAGGTTGCACATACACTCTGGATTACTGTGTGATGTACAGTATTCTTGTATATATTATTTTTAAATTTAATGATTAATCATTTAGTCTTTAATATGTCCAGAAAACAGTGAAAAATGTCTCACTATTACATCTTCAAATTGTTATTTTGTCTGACAAACAAACAAATCT